CCCCCCCTCCCCCACCAAAAAAATTTCACTCTATCCTTTTCGTTCACTTCTTCCTTCTGTCATCTCTTTCTCCCTTTCTACACTAAACATCACAGACCTACGACCTCTCTCCTGCGAAATCCTCTCCCTTGGATAACAAGCGCAAGTAGGAACAATACGGGAGAAACTCTTATGGCAATTGATTTTATAAGTCGTATGGGTTTTGTTTTTGGAGATGGGTGGTCCAAGAACTTAGTCCATATTTATCGAATTTTCATTGATTTTACGGTGCAAATCAGAATAGTTTTGGGTTAATTAATTTAAATGCAAAAGATACTTTCTTTGTAGGTATTAAAATTTTCGGAAGAAGACCCAATTGGATAAGCTCCAATTCCTACTAAATATGACTTATATTATGCAAGCCTTGAAAGTTATGGAAGATAGTGAAGCTTCATTAAGTTTATTTCAACGGGCATAGAGATATCCCTGCTATAAGCCCAATGATGATATTACGCTGTTCAATAAATTGAATCAAAACAGGAATTTTGTTTATCCAATCGATTTTTAGTAACATGGTCCTTGATTCAGCGATCACGAAGAAGGTCATTCCAGGTGGGTTTTCTGGTGAGGGACAATGGGAATTTTAGAGGTGACGACGATTTTCCGGCCAACACCGACCAAATCTTGATCGGACAATAATGATTTGGTTTGCCAGTGAAGACCACGAACATGGGAAGACGATTAAGGAGAAGAGAAAAAGAAAGAAAAGAGTAAAGAATAAGAAATGAAAAATGATAAAGATATTAAGAATAAATAATTAAGTCTAATTAGTTTACAATATCCGGTCACAAAGATGACACGTGTATAGTTTAAGTCATTTTTTAACTTTTTTCTTTCTTTTCACGCGCATGTAAGAATTTGATAACACATTCTTTGCCAAGTCAGCTTGTGGGAGGAAATAAATTTATTTTAAAGTAGAATGATGGGGGTGTTAGATCATCCGTAAAGTTTAGGTGTGTAAATAATTTTTCGGTACAAGTTTAATGGGCAATTTATGCCTTTTCTCTTTTTTTTTTAATAATATCCTCCACACATAGAGTAACACTTAATTAAGTTTTTTTTTAAATTTCTCTTAGCCTTGAAGAGGAATAAGAAAAGAGAAAAAAGAAAAAAATGAATGCAAGAAGGTTAGGGTAGGTATTGGTGGTAAATGGCGTCACAGCAAATGTCATTAAATAGAGTCCTAAAATTGAAGGTTCCGTTGTCTCCATCAATGAGTTGGCCATTCTCCCGACAGTCCGCCACAGCTCACCTAATATCGTAGTAATAAAATATATGAGCGGATTCAGAATTTAAACTTTATGATTTAACTTTTAATATTTTAATTGTCGAAGTCGTTATATTTTTAAAATTATAAATTTGTATCTATTATTTTTATAATTTTAATAAAGTTTACGCATAAATTTATGTTTTGAACCGAAAGTATTCGATTCAAATAAACTCAACACTGCAAAGTTGTATCATTCCGTACAAGTAATATGCTAACGTAGTTGTAGGAGTTGTTGCCTGTTGGGCATATATATAGC